AGAACAAAAAACAACAACAACAGGAAAACCCCAGAAAACCGGGAGGGACTGCAGAGGACAGGCGCCAGCTGCTGCCACCAGGGGGCGTCCCCTCGAAGCGAACAGGGGGCGAGGGAGGGGACAAGGGGGTCACAGTAGGACCCTGTAGCGATCGGGCCTGGGGGGGGTTGGACGTTTCGTCTGCGCGTCAAAGTGGGGGACAGGAGCAAAGCGACTCTGTTCGGGTCCCCCGGGGGGGTCACATCATGCTCTTCCTGTACTGAGACTGCTGGGGGCTCTTGAGCTGCGAGGGGGACAGGGGCGCGGGCGAGGGGTTCGGGTCCAGCCGCTGGCACAGGGCCCGCAGTTCCTTCACCTCCTGCAGCACGTCGCGGGCCTGCCCCCACGCGGCCGCCGCCTCCTGCAGCAGCTGCTCGGCCTCGGCCCGGCCCCCCTCCGAGTCCGGACCCTTGTCCTTCCCCCGGCGGTCCCGGGTCTCCGCCAGCAGCTCCCGCGTTCTCTCCAGTTTCTGGGCGATGAGGTCCTGGAGCTGCTGGACCTGGGGCGGGGCGGAGTTCGGGGAGGCCCGCGAGCCGCCCTCGGACAGGATCTCCTCCATGGAGGCACACTTGCTCTTCCCTGCCAGGCCGGGCCTGCGGGCCACCTGCGGGGTGCGGGCCCCGGCGGGCCCCCGCTCCCCCTTCTCCGGCTTCTGCCGCTCCCAGGAGGTCTCCTTCCGGCGGGACGGGCTCTCCGCCTTGCCCTCGCCTGCCCCGCCGGGCCCGGGGGGCTGGGGGCCCTCCGTTTCCGAACGGCGGCGGCCCGCTGCCAGCTGGGACACCGACTTGTCCAGGTCGACCCGGAAGCTCTTCTCGCACGTGCCCGGCGGCCCCTCCGGCGAGGAGGAGTCCTCTTCCTGGATGAGGTCGAGGGTCAGCATGCCGTCTGAGGTGGAGGTCGATGCCTGCGGGGAGGAGTGAGAGGGGCGTGCTTTAAAGTGGAACTGTTTTGGACTATTTTTATATTTCAGGGATTAGAAAGAATCGGCGTTGATGAGTCCATTTCAAACCGCAATAAAAGTCAAATGTACACGGTAACTCGTAAAACCTCCAATTTACATCCCAAAACAGATTCAGTCTTCCAAATATGCACGGCATCACGTTCTGCGATGCAGGACAAGGCAACAAAACTTCCGGTGACCTGCTGTAGCCCTGTGACACTGTAAATAAGCAGGCCTGTGAAT